CTCTGGCCAGGCTTCCAGAGTGACTGCTTCTGGGGCTGCTGACAGTCACAGCAGGGTGACGGGGGATGACATGGAGAAGGGCCACCTGAGATCTCTGCAGAACGTGTGCGGGGCGCGGAAAGGCACACCCGCTTCCCTACACTGGCTGTGGCCCTTCAGCCCAGAGGGATGGGACACGAGCAACGAGTTCTCCAGCCAGAGGGATCCTGGCCCAGGTGTTTCCAGGCTTGTGTGGCCCTGGGGTGCTCCCAACCACCACACACACACCACCCACCCTCTACACCTACCTACCCACCCAGCCAGGGTAACACTGAGAAGGGGTTGCGCTGAGTCCCAGGCGGGATCCACGGTTCTCTCCAGCCTTTGGAGCCCGGAGTCCAGACTGAAACAGCCTCCTCATTTTAATCATCATGATGGTTAACATTTGTTACAAGCACGTGCTTAACAGATGGCAGCTGACTCCAGGGCCCGGCTGAGTATTTACAGATCTAACTGAGGGTGCTAGAGAGAGCTCGGGCTTGGAGCCTCTGGAACTGGCTGGGTTCATGTGCCAGCTCTGCCTTCTACTAGCTGGGAGGCCAGGGGTCCGGCCACTTGCTTCCCTGGGCTTCCATCAAAGAGGGAGAGTGGCACCCACCATGGCACGCAGAAGGAGGAGGAGGAGGCCTTGACGTCCTTCCAGGAGTTGTCTGTTTTCCACCTGTGGCGCAAGGAGGCTCCTGCTGACATCAGCTGAACCCTGAGTAGCTCCCGCAGGGCTCCACTCTCAGCCCCGGGTGTGCAGCTCCTCCTCTGCCCGAGCCCTGACCGAGCTCCAAGCTTCCACATGCACTTAGGTGCAGCATCTCCCCAACCCGGGACTCGCAGCAGCTTTCCCTTCGTGGTTCTCTCAGCCCTTGAAAAGTGGATGTTTCTGAGCAGTAGGGACACTCAAAGGTTAAGGGGGTCTGGAGTGGATCTGTCGGTTTAAAACCCCCCCACCAAGAAGCCAGAGTGCAGGAATCCACTCAGTGACAACAGAAGAGACC